TCTCTCTCTCTCTCTCTCTCTCTCTCTCTCTCTCTCTCTCTCTCTCTCTCTCTCTCTCTCTCTCTCTCTCTCTCTCTCTCTCTCTCTCCCTCTGGGGTTCCCCGCAACTTGGTGTATCACGTAGAAAAAAAAAAAAAATGCATGTACACCACGGCGCACCATGCGCGACAGTATGAGTGCCGCGCAGTGCACTGCGCACTGCGCACTGCGCATCAGTCCGCGCGCATCGCGCACGGCACAGGTGCACACCACGCACCACGCAGCGCACCGCACTGATGCGCCGCAAGTATGCATAAGACATATTTGATTTAATTCATGCAGCTCTGTCTGGATTTGAGCTTAGGTCTGTATTTCAGCAATTCATTGGTGTACTGACTGAGCTAGGGGAGTCAGTTTTTTTAGCTTTTCATTCCTTGCCAGTTTTTTTAGCTTTTCATTCCTTGCTCCAGTTTTTTTAGCTTTTCATTCCTTGCTCAACTGGCTCGCCGGAGACAACTAAGCGGGCCTCCTACTCCATCTGGATTCGAATTGAAATCTGTACATCAATAGGTCGTCAACTGTCTCTAATTTTCCTTTTTCCTTCCAGTTGTGGCAGCGTGTATGGGCTGCGTTCAAACAGCTGTCACTGAGCCAGGGCAGGCTTTCCATTTCAGTGTTTTTTTCTTTTCTTTTTACATAAGACATTTAATTTGATTCGTGCAGTTCTGTCTGGATTTGAGCTCAGGTCTGTATTTCAGCAGTTCATTGGTGTACTGACTGAGCTAGGGGAGTCAGTTTTTTTAGCTTTTCATTCCTTACTCGAGTGGCTCGCCGGGGGACAACAAAGCGGGCCCCCCTACTCCATCTGGATTCGAATTGAAATCTGTACATCAACAGGTCGTCAACTTGTCTCTAATTTTCCTTTTTTCTTCCAGTTGTGGCAGCGTGTATGGGCTGTGTTCAAACAGCTGTCACCGAGCCAGAGCTCTCTCTCTCTCTTTGCCCCCCAGTCCTTCCCCCCCCCCCCTTCCCCCCCTACATCCCTTCTTCCGTTCATTCATCCGTTGATAAGTTTAGGGCTGCACCTCCATTTTTGTGAGGTGCTAAGATGCTATGTCACAAGTGGGACCGGATTTGTGCGCTGCCGCCATCGGAAAGCGTAAGCGGGGATCATGCCGTGATTGCAGAGAGCCAGCATGGGAAGGAACAGTGGGGGGAGGTGAGGTGCCTGGTCAGGCAGGGAGAAGAAGACCACCATCAAAATCCTGAGGGGTTGGAGTACCAGGAGAAGGACGAAGGGGGAGGGTGAGGATGCGGTATCAGGTGGCTGAGAGGGTCAGGATGTTGTCTGTCAGGATGAGGATCCGGCGAAAGAGGAAGAGGAGTGTCAACCACACGTGGTCAACGGCGGTCCCCCAGTTTCAGCTCCTAAGTAACAGGTCCAAAACTGAAATTAGGGTTTGGGGGTGAAATTTTATGTTTTTTTTTTTTGTTTTTTTTTGCCTGTTTTTCTGCGTACGGATCCGGGCCGCCCGGCCGACCGGCGCCTGCCCGCGGGAGGTCCCGGGCGGCCTGGCCGGGCGGGCGACCTGGTTGGGGGCCGCCCCCCCCCAGCACACCTTGTTGGCGGGGGTTTCTGACCCCGAATCGACAAGATTTCGCCTCCCCAGGGCCTACCGCGTCCGACCACGCCGAGAAAACGGCGCGTCGGGCCCGTGAGGCCTGTTTTTTTTTTTTTTGAATTTGGGACGGCCCTCTGGCCGTCGATCATCCATGATCGATGTGATCGACGGCCAGAGGGCCGTTCGTTTTTGGAGGGAAAATGGAGGCCCCGTTTGAACAAGCGACTAGCTGGGGCGGCCTGCATTGGCTGTCCAAACGGGGCCTCGATACATGCTCCAGCCGCCTGTGTTCGTCGTCGAGTCGCCCGTCGTCGAAGTAGCTGCCCCTCGGCGCTATCGCCTGGGAGCTTCACTCGCCCGTCGTCGTCGAGTCCCCCGTCGCCCGTCGTCGTCGAGTCGCCCGTCGCCCGTCGCCAGTGTCGTCGATTGCGGTGCTCCTGCCTG